TCACGACTAAACAAGGGGAGTCAGAGTTTCAGGTTCATGCAGCTAAAACCTGGAACAGTCTGAACATGTGAGACAGACTCTTCTGTGACGCTGTTTAAATCCAGACTCAAAACATTTCTGTTTAACTGTGCAAATAACTGAAAGGTTTTCATTCCGCACTCTTCTCTCCAATTTATGTCTCTCTTTTTTTAATTTTAATCTTTATGATTATTTATGTTTTGATTAGTTTTTATTATGATTTTAATGTATTTCTTATTCTGTAAAGCACTTTGAATTACTTTGTGTACGAATTGTGCTATACAAATAAACTTGCCTTGCCTTGCCTATATACTGACACACAACACAAGAGCCTCTCGAGACTTCAGTGTGAACATTTTAAGGATAGTATAAGTTGCAGGAAACACCGAAACCATGAAAAGACAGTCTGAAAAATACTGTAGTCAGTCTACATCTCCAAAGCTCAAAATGCTCTGTTCCACCTTGCAGTGTCATGAAGTGATAGTTTTCAATCTCAAAGCTATTTTTTTTTTTAACCTTTTGTTCAGTAGAGATTGGAAATTCCAAGGCGGAAATCATCCAAATGATTCTAGTGAAGGTGTGTGGAGTTCAAAAACACAGTGGAGCACTTCCTGTACTACCATATGACATCACAAAGTGGACCAGGGTGTTTTCTGTTTGAGAGAAAGACTCAGGCTTGATATGCAGGGTTCGTATATGAAACATGTGTGAATGAACAGATCTTTGACGCTCTCTAGGCTAAGTCACTCCCCCTTCAGAGCACTATCACAACACAGTGTCAGGTTTGTGAAGTTGTAGTCTGCAGTTTTGAATCATGTTTTTTAATATTTCTGGAGGATTGTCGTGAGGGAGCATGGGGGATATAAACTTGGACAAAACTTTCAGCTCTAACTATAAGGAAGATTCAAATAGGACAGGGGAGAGATCGCTAAATTACTGAAACATACACGGATGACATCTTAAACCTCTTCAGGCACGTTTTTGATGAGGGAAAAATGATAACACGGCAGCTCGTGTCTGCATCTCCACAGCACAAGTGTAATAGATTGGAGTTTGTGGCTAAGTAAATACATATTTTCATCGATTCATTGCAGAAGACCTTGGTCCCAGTCCTGTTGTGAGTGATGAATGAGTACTTTCTTACCAGAGACCTGACATTTCCACAGAGCAGAGGGCACGTAAATATAACCCCAGACAAATCAAATCATCTCCTTGAGGTGCGTTCAAGGCCCCTCCGATTTTTTTTTTTGTTCAGCACAAACTCAGTGTCAATGCCATGTTCAGTTAAAATACCTCACTCCGCTGTTGATAGTTTTTTCTCACAGGCTTTACTCCTCAATGAGATGCACAGAATAACTGATAGAAGGATAGAAGTTATGAAATACATGCTGGGTAATTACAGAAAGGAAATACTGTGAAATGTTAAAGTGTCCTTGAATTTTCTTTGCTTAGAGTTTTGTGGAATATCTGTGTTTGATTTTGAGCCAGAGTGATTTTTTTGTTGTAAATCTTTAAGAACATTTTTTTTTTGAGCTTTTAACATTGTTCCCTTCAAACAAGTACCTAGAATTGAGTTTCGCATCATTCACGCTGGTTTTTATAATCTTTCAGTTTAAATTTCCCATAATTGTCGTGTCGTAGGTAAAAACCCTGCACAGTTTTTGATTCCTTAAATCATCAGACTTGTTCAAAATGCTTATGCCGTCCATTCACGCTCATTACTGCAAAGCTGAAGTACTCAAGTATGTCTAAATGCCAGTTGTTAATCAGACTCAGTGATGCCACTCTTAGTACTACTTCATAACACGTTACTGTAGTCTGACTACTTTTTTCAGTAAAGAGTATTCTAACGCAGTGCTATTTCCAAACCACTTGTCAGAGTTAAGTTACTTATCGAATACATTGTGCGTTACTATTTTTACATTTCAGGGCGACGTAGGTTATTTATTTATTTTTATTTTTTGGCAACGTGGGTTATGCAACCCCAAAGATCGTATAAATAGTTTCTGGTGACACATTTCCTATGATGTTACATCATCTCCGCTCCGCCACGAGTCAGATATAAACAATGGAGGGAGAGAGGGACGACTTTTGCAGCTGGAAATACAAACATTATTTTGATTTTATTTCAGCTGAGGATGGGCGTGGGGGATCAGCCGCTGCTGAAAGTAACTAATAAAGTCACTTGTAATCTAACTTAGTTCATTTTAAAAGCAAGTAGTCAGTAACTTAACCAAGTTACTTTTTAAAGAAGTAATCAGTAGTCAGTAGTCAGATTACTGTTTCAAAGTAACTATGGCAACACTGATCAGACTTCAACATATTTACAGCTTAAGTTGAAGTTTTCAGCAGTAGAGCTCCCCCTGCAGATCACTGATGAGAATACACTGTCAGGGAACAGACTCGACTTGTCCAGTTTGTTTCTTCTCTTTTCTTTTTTCTTTTTTTATTGAAATAAGGTCCTGTCATCACATAAAAAGACAGTGGAGATGATGCTCCCAATCCAAACATCCCATAAATACACATTTAACCATCACAGAGACTTTTCTAACAGACGTTTAATGAGGTAAAAATTAGGGCCCGGCCGATATGGATTTACATATTAATGCAGGTCCAGTGACATACATATACGGCCAATATATCTATCAGTTGGGCCCTAATAAAAATATTAGCTTTGCTTTAAGATTTTTCAATTTGAGTTGGCCCAATTGCCAAGTTTCAAAGGCAGCAATTTAGATAACAGAATGTCCTCGGAAAAGAACAAAATATTATATCACCAGCCTTTTCTCAAATTTGAAAGCTCCTGGAGTTGTTTACAATGTGCACTTTAATAGAATCCTGCTTTTTAAACACATATTGCAAATTTAATTACAGTGTACAATATTTCGACAATTGAAAAGCTACAGAAACGAAGAAGGAAATTCCTGCTTCGATTTACACCTACACAATTCTTCTGTTATAGGGGACGAGCATTAAACTAGTCCTGAGAATACACAATAAAAGATCATACAGCGATCCATCTCTCCTCTTATGGGAACCTTTACAGCCTCGTCTTTTCCCAGCAGGCTCGTGTGCTCTTCGCTCGTGGGTTTGTTTATGATCACGTAATGCACTTTGGAGTTTTCTTCTTCTGGACTTTTCCGATCTGTTCCGGGTTGGGATGAGGGGATGAGAGGACGATGAAGATGTACGACGTGAGGAGTGTGAGGAGGATCCCGCTCTGGTAGATGTCCGGAACACGGGGCTATCGCTAACAGATGTTATCGATCGGTCTGGCGGAGGTGCACTTTGGAGAAGTCGATGTGTAGTTATAAAAGTCTACAGAGAATTGTCCGTTGTGGTTAAATACAGTGTAAATGATTTGATCTGGGTTGAACGAGGGTTGAATTGTTACTAAATTGGATTAAATACATTGTTTTAAAGCCTCAGCATGTATCTTTTTAGGTTTTTTTGTTTTCATTTTGGATGGTTATATTGCGCTAAAAGAAAAACATGTGTCCTTACTATGAGTGGGCTCGCGTCTCCACAAACCTGACTCTTGGAAATGTTACTTTTCTATAATATTCCACTGTATGGCATAAAATGTTTCAATCTCCAAGGTGATTATTCCAAAGTGTGGTTTTGAATTTCTGTTTCGAGGCAACATGCAATGACCAGAAAGTGACATACCTGTTAGGGTTGTCCCGAACCAATCACGTCATCAGAAATCGGCGCTGATCATGTGACTGCGGATTCGATCCAGACTCGGATGTTATGTTCCGATCAGGTATCGGATAAATAATATACGTATATAACACACAGGACACAACAGTTTTTTTTTTTTTTGTTTGTTTGTTTTTGTTTTTTAACGGAGGCGTGGGATTTGCTCAGGGACGTTCAGTTAGCTCGTTTATTGAGCAGTGGGACCGATGTTGTGGTTCGCGCTCTGCAGTTGGTTTGTGGATGTGGTGGCGTTTTTATTTGGTAAGATTTTGTATTATTTGGATTTCATAGATGAAATGTTTAAATGTAATGCACATGCAAACATATAATATCAAATATACAAACTCTAGATCAGACATGTCCAAACTATGGCTCGTTTGCCAAATGCGTCCCTCAGACAAATTTTTCTTGGCCCTCAAGCTTCCAGGTGAATTGGCCCAAATTATCTTGCATCAATGAAAAATTTACTTTTTATTGCAAGTTTTTTGAAAATCTACCTTGATAAAGCTTATATTGAATATTTAGTGTGTGGTTTTAAGGATCTTAGCATGAATATAAACTGATGGCTCATTCTAACATGTTAAACATGCACATATTTCAATTATTCACTGTATTGAGCACCAGTCTATGGCCCTCGATCAGCCCTCTGCTTCGTCTGTGCTTACATATGTGGCCCTTGATGAAAAAAGTTTGGACACCCCTGCTCTAGATTGTGCAGAGTCGAGTCTCAGGTCTGATCTGATTCTGGTCTGGTTCCTGTTTTGTTCAGTTCATTAAGTTTACTAAGTTACACATTCCAAGACCAGACTGTGAAAAGTCAAGATTTTCAACAATGATGGTTCATGGTTAGAAAAATTAATCAAATTAAAGTTTTGGACATTTGATTTTTCACAAGTTCAGCCCAAATACGACACATTGGAATCAACACAATCTGATCCCTTGTACATCCTGGATCTTATTCTTTGCTCGTAGTTCATTTTATAATGTTTTATAGAAGTATCGGATCAGGACTCTGTATCTGCAGATACTCAAAATCAAATGACTCGGACTCGGGCAAAAAAATGTGATTGGGACATCCCTAATACCTGTACTTTCTAGTTCTGTATAAAATGGCTCTTATATACTCTATGTCTGTGGTTGTTTGGAGGTTTTCATGTTTAAGTTTTTGCATCCACATCACATCCACATGACATACTTTTACCAAGAGCAGATGCATCAGCAGATCTTACTTTATACCATAAACCGTCTCATCTAACCTCTTTGTTTTTGTGTGTGTCCAGTGTCCGGCTCTGAAGCGCCGATGGGCCAGGAGAGGAAGACTCCGGTCACTCCATCTTCATCGTCCCGCTACAACCGCCGACGGTTATCAGGCTCCAGGGATGAGCGCTACAGATCAGGTACGAGCTCCACTGCTGCAGCTCTCTGCCTGTCTCTGTGTCTGGGTTTAATCAAGAGTGAGAGGGCATCTGGGGCCGGCACGACTACAGTTAGGGTTCAGGTTGGGAAAATACTATTCCAAACTAAAATTCTGAAAAATCTGAAAGGCACTGTACCTGATTTTTACTGTCTTAAAAACATGAAAAACAGACCTACAGTTTGCGATGATCTTTAGGTATTCCTCCTTTACCTTCCTAATTAGTGCTAGCATGCTAACACGCACTTCCTGATTGTTGGACACTAAGTCTACATTCAGACTGCAGGGCTTAATGCTCAATTTGGATATTTTTGAGAAATCCGATTTTTTTTGCGAGGTTGTTCACATTTCCAATTCAACGTCCCAAAAGCAGAGGATTTTTAGGACTTGAGCCTTGACTTGATAAAATGGACTGAGACTTGGGACTTGACTCGAACTCGAGGCCTGTGACTTGAGAAGCACTTTTCAGTCTGAATTGTTTCTGTTCTGACCGTAATGATTCACACTAAGGATCTTGTCAAGACATTTAAAAAGGAAAAGTTTGCATTTCTACATCTCTTATATAGTCTAAAAATACTCATATATAAATTTACTACAACATTATAAATACAATTTATCTTGAAATGATTTGAAGCTCAAAGCAGACAACTTGGACTTGACTTGGATTTATGGGCCAGTGACTTGAGACTTGACTTGGACTTGCCTGTACTTGACTTGGGACTTGACTTGGACTTGAGGTCAAAGATTGGAGACTTACTTGAGACTTGCAAAACAGCGACTTGGTTCCACCTCTGCCCAAAAGTGTCCTGCATGCATACTGGAGGACACAACAATGTCAGTGCTCAGTGTTTATGGAAGTCGCCTAAACACTGGTCCAGTTCTTTGTAAAATAGACAGGTAACACATCAAGATTTGTCCTGGTGTAGTCCTGGTGTAGTCCTAGTTTAGTTCTGATTTAGTCCTGACCCGCCCATGTGTAAGTACTACTCTCCTGCAAAGCAAAATTCCAGAACATAAAACCCGCCCGTTTCAGCAACTATTTACCCGTACTCGCGGGTACCTGACCCGGTGCAGGACTCTGCTACAGCGCGTAACTTCTACCTTCCTTCAGCATGTCCAGAAGTCCAACTTTTTGTACGATGGTTACGTCTTTCTCTGCCTTTTAGGTGCGACCGCAGGAGCCTTTGTCGGTGCAGAATGTTTCGTCGACATTGTTGGTTTTGTTGAAGAGAAAACTTGCAAACATACAGCACTTCAGAATCGCACTGATAGAGATCCAACATTTATGTAAATTTGGCAACTGAACTGAACATTTTGTACTGTACAGGAGACACAGCACAGAGGAGACTGATTGACAATGATCTACAGTCCCTTAGCCAATCAGGATGTAGGGGGGAAGAAACACAAAATATCCGCAAAGTCCTGGGTCTTCCCCGGGGCCAGAGGCGCCCAGGAGGCATCAGAACAGATGCCCGAACCACCTCAACTAGCTCCTCTTGACATGGAGGAGCAGCGGCTCTACTCCGAGCTCCTCCCGTGTGACTGAGCTCCTCACCCTATCTCTAAGGGAGCGACCAGACACCCTGCGAAGGAAACTCATTTCGACCGCTTGTATCCGCGATCTCGTCTTTTTGGTCATTATCCAGAACTCATGACCATAGGTGAGTGGAGGAACGAAGGCTGATGGTAAATCTAGAGCTTCGCCTCTCGGCTCAGCTCCCTCTTGACCACAACAGTCCGATACAGCAACCACACCTGCACCGATCCGCCTGTCAATCTCATGTTCCGTCCTCCCCTCACTCTTGAACAAGACCCCGAGATACTTGAACTCCTCCACTTGAGGCAAGGACTCCCCACCCACCAGGAGAGGACAAGCCACCTTTTTCCGGTCGAGAACCCTCTCCTTGAGAGGGGCTGGACTGTAGTTCTGTTTTTCATATTTTTAAGACAGTAAAAGTGACGTACAGCACTTTTTGTGCTATAGCAAAGAAATACAATCTCCATAGAGGCAGACCCACTATCAGAAAAGTTGCATCGTGCTCCTTTAATGTTAGTATTTCTCCAATTGATCAAAAGTGTCTTGAAGCACACCCGTAATCTTTCGCTGCTGTATCTGCCTCTGTCTTATCCCACAAAATCAAATCTAATTACGTTATAATTAGCTTCATTAATCAGATCACTTTTTTATGGGTTATGGAAAAAAAACATGCGATAACAGTTTTTAATTTTTGCCGATAGCTCCTTCCTCAAACTAGATAATGAGATAAGGAGACTGGAGAACTTGGAGGCTAGCATTAGCATGTCAATGAGACGCTATTTTCATAAGCGTTTTGATAATTATAGCATTTATTATTTATATTATCTGTTGTGCTTTGAGAGCGGAAATTTACGGCTAATCTATTTGAATTTTTAATAGTATTTTCAGTTGCTAAATATTCATTAAATGACCTTCAGATTAAGAGAATGTAATTTCAAAATAAGGTTGAAAGTGTCATAGTTAAAGTTACTCAGACTCACGTTGGGGATTTAAAGGGCCCATGTTACGTTATTGTCTGATCTCTAATATTGTTAGAATGTTGTTTCCCCATCACAAACAGACCTGGAGTTGTGTTTTATTTCATTCACACAAATCCTGAATATATTTAGGCTGAGTTCGTCTCTCAAACAGAAAACACGGTGTTCCACTTTGTGATGTCATGTGATAATACAAGAAGTGCTCCACTGTGTTTTTAAACTCCACACACCTTCACTAGAATCATTCGGATAATTTCAACCCTTGAATTTTCATTCTCTTCTGTACTAAAGGTAAAAAGGATCTGTTAACTTGAAAACTACCTCTTCATGACATTACAAGGTGGAACAGAGCATTTGAGCTTTGGAGATGTAGGCCCCATCCACACTAGGACGTATTCGTTGTGGATGCAGTGTTCGTTCACACTAATCTGATGGAAAACAGGCTTCAGAGACAGAATGATCTGGTGCCTCCAGCTCCCACGAATTCATCTGAGTACAGATCTGATCAGGTGAGGTGACCCCGGGGTCAACATACCATATACTATTTTGACCCTGGGGTCAGAATCCTATTATGATATGTTGACCCCCCTATAGAATATTGACCCCCTATGAAAATCTATATTTTATGAATAAAGAACTTGAATTCTATAGAAAAACTTTGAATATGAATACTATATCTGTTAATTAAAACACACTGACATATTTAAAAGTGTTTTTTGCAGAACTCAAATGCATTTTTTATGTCGATTATAACTTTTGAATGTTAAAAATTACTTAGTTGTTTAAACATATTTTACTGAAAATAAGTAGTTATTAATGAGTTAGGTAATCAAAGTGATGTTTAATGATTTGGAATCTTGTTCAAATAGACAGGGCTGATCTATTGAGTAGTTAAATAGGAGATACCTATGGCTATATTAATCTGACCCCCAATATGTTTATTATAGTTATTATGATGTAAAGTAAGAAGTAATGTTAGCTGAATATTTATTTATAAAGGAAGGTCAAAATCCTGTGACTACAGTAATCTGACCCCCAATATGTTTATTATAACACAACATGACTAAATTCAAGGTCATTATTCTTTCAAACCATTGCCTACATTGACATTATGATGAAGGATTATCTGAACATAAACAAAAAACCATAACAATGTAAAATAAAATATAAAAAGTGACCAGATTACTATGTATATACAATTTGAACAATACGTTACATTTACACAAAATACCAAGTTGTTATCATCAAAACATTCCTTAAAATACCTTAAAAGAAAGTGAATATGTAGCAATATATAATAAAATGTAAATGACAAATGAAATGAGAAATAATGATCAGATAAGTAACTAAGTAAGGGGAGTCAAAATCCTAAGGGGGGGTCACTTTACTATAGCGGTACATTGACCACAGGGTCAATATACTATGGGGGTCAAAATACTATCTCACACCGGCACTGTGTGGACGCCTGAAAACACTGATACTCTGATGTAGGTCTGTGCGCCGTGAAGTAATTCACCGCCAAAACACTAAGAGGCTAGAATATATGTCCATTCATATATACGATCTGTGTGTACGACCTGCAGACGTATAATCTCTGAAAAATTTAACATGAACCATCTCCAACACGAACAGAAACACAGAACAGACTCACCATCAGCAGAACACCCCTCTGTCACAGAAAGAACACTCATATTCCACTGAGTCGTGTCCTTTAGTCTGACAGAAGCTGAACTGCATCAGCGCACAATAGTGAGCTGTTTTTTGAGTGCTTAGTTTATGCAAATGAGCCATGTGGTTTTAAGTTTTGTTTCTGTAAAACGTAAACAAATGTGCTCAAAGCTGTGTGGACAGGGAAAACTTGTGGACATAGAAACGACGCGTCTGGATGAAGATGGGTTCCGATACGGTAATACGGTGATACGGTGATTCATTTCAGTGTAAACGTAGTCGTAGACAGACTAATAATAAAGATTAAAATGTGTGAATGATACAAAACACGACTCTAGCTCTGTTTTTGAGGAGGGAACAGTGTTATAGCCCCACAGATGTCAGTTTTGGGCAATGCAGAAAAAATATCAGTGCCAAAAATCTGCTAAATTTTCAACAATGAGCCAATACTGATATGTGGGGAAGTCCTCTGATATGCTGGTATTTCTAATGCACACTGCCTAGTTTCAGTTCACTTGTGTGTTTGTGTGTTATTGATGGTTTTGTGTTGTTGTTTGCAGATGTGCACACAGAGGCGGTGCAGGCGGCGCTGGCCAAACACAAAGAGAGGAAAATGGCCGTGCCCATGCCCTCCAAGAGAAGGTCTCTGGTGGTGCAGACTTCTATGGACGCGTACACTCCCCCAGGTAACAGTCTGTGCCTCTGCTCTGTCATACCACTACCAGCACATCAAGTCACTTTAGGAGAACTAGTCATGATAATCTATGCTTTTTTTTTTTCCAATATTTTTATTAATTTTCAGACAAAAAATCTTCACATGAACAATTGACCACGTTAACACAGGTCAACATATAACCGAAAAAAAATAATAACAGGGGGATTCACACACTCACACACTCATACACATTCACAAAACAATATTTGCACAATACATTTTATCAGTCGCAGGTAAGTCAGAGATTCATATTCAGTGACCATATGAACTTAAAAAAAAAAAAATGGGTAGAGAAAAATACATAAATAAATGAATAGATAAATAAGAATAAAATCTAAATTAATTCATACAAAAATAAAATAAAGTAAAATAGGTAAATAAATAAAATAATAAATAATAACAACAACAATAACAACAATAGTAAAAATAATTATTATACATACACATCATTTCTACTTTTTTGGATATGATATTCAAGTAAGGTTCCCATAATTTCACAAAGTCTTTTCGTTTTCCCTTTGCTATAAATGCCAATCTTTCAAGGCCGACACATTCTGAAAGTTCCTTAACCCACTGTTTTGTTGAGGGAGCTTCAATATTTTTCCAGTTCAGGGCGATGGCTCTTCTGGCATGTAATAGTCCAACTTCAAAACTATAAATTACAGCTCATCAAACCATAGGTATCAACCTGGGTAAACATAAACATAAATTAGAAAGAAAATGTGAAATATACAATTAGAAGATCTAGTTTAGATAACGTATGGACACAGAGTTAGTTTATCATGTAAATACTAAACACATTTCAAGATGCACTTCGTAACTTTTCTGGTTAAGCATTTGGCTCTTGCCTGTTTCCATGGAGATGAATGTTCAACAGTAAGACATTAAACTTACTGGACAATCTCTATGGACTCACTTTTTTACCTGGTCCTCGAAGGGTTGACCAGGTTTTGTATTCACCCTGTGTGTGTGTGTTTGTGTCTGTCCACCCGCCATAATTCCACCATTTATGAACCGATTGTCACCAAATTTGGTACGTGGGTCAAGCCCCCGTGCCTGATGCCGCAAAAAAAGTTTGGTGACGATCCGAGGTCATTTGAGGTCACACGGGTCAATTGAAAGGTCACTCCAATATAAAGGATAGGCAATTTCAGCAATTTCTGAATCATCTGCGGCCTAATCAAATATGCGTTTTTTGTCATAACTCCATGAAGGATCGAGCTCGAGCAACAAGAGTGTCTCAAAATCTCAGGAAAATTATTATCTATTTATAATTCTATGCATTTGTATAGTAAAATATTAATAGTTTTCGATTTTAATCCCTAATTATAACAGTTCCCTTTCTCTTTCAGTGTTTGCCATTAAAATTATAATCTTGTTTTTTTTCTGGTGATACACAACACAATGATCTATTGTCACACAACTAACAGATCCACAACTCATGAAAAAAAATGACATTTTTGTTACACGCGAGTAAACACAGACATTCTCATGTGTGACCAATATCACACCAGGTTGTTATCTCTGATTGCTCTTTTTTTTTTAAAGAAATAAAAACACTTGCAAATTAATACATGCTTGGCACATAGCTCCATAATGTGCCCAAGGTTTCCCGAAGTTAAGCCAATAAAACTATGAATAGGTCTGTAATAGATTATTACCAATGATGTACCTATGCATTTTGGTTTGGAATAAATAGTTTCACAATTTCTAACTTAAAATAATGTCTGCATTTGGGAAACACACTTTGTAAACTACTATTCTCTTTCCAATGAGGAATTTAGGCGTTGGAGCTCCCTCTGCTGTCAGCAACAGTAATTAACATACTAACAGAGCCACACGTTTGTTTATGAACACAATTTGTCTGTAGAATGAATCCGGTGATGGTTTATGGGTTTAAAAACGGTGTTGGAGAAGTCAGAAGTTTTATCTATGACGCAACTGAACAGCCAAAATGCAAACTGATGATATTTGAGGCTCAGAGAAAACAATGTTGGATTAATGGACTAATTAAACAAGCATGGATGAAACTAAATACAACTCAGGTATGTTTTTAACCTGCGGACAACAGTATAACAAGCTTAAACAGTCAAAAGGTCTATTTTAAAAGTCTAGTCTAAAAAGAAAAGAGCTCGATAAGTTGGAGTGTAGTAGTTTGTTTCTCATTTTAGCATATTCCCAGAGGCTATAACAGAATAAGTGTCCCCCAAGTGTCTGTGTTTTGAACAGCCTGTATAATTAACTGTATTCCAGCCTTGTAAAGTGATTGAGGGTGTTGGCTTCGGGCACAGCCTCGGTCACCACCACAATGAACCTATAATCAGCACGTATCTCTGTGGAAGGATTTGTTCTGGACACTGTAATTGTAAACATGTAACAGTTTGTCCCGGCTGTTCTCTTCTGGGGCGTCTCATTGTTTTTATATTTCTGCTCTTAAGAACCGGTATTAAAGGAGATCTAACAGATTTTTACTGCTTTAAAAACATAAAAAATAGGAGTAGTTCATTTAAAACAGATGCAGACAGTACACAGCAGACCTAATTTAAAGGTGCATTGTGTAACTTTTCTGGTAGAGGGTCTGTCAAATACTTTTCACCACGGACATGTTATTGCTTTGTCTTTAATGCTCCACTTTATGGCATTAAACCTTTGTATCATCATGGAGACCAAACCAGACCGAGTTACAGATCAGATCTGTGGAGAGGCAACCCGCTCACAGTCAGAATACCTGTTTTTCTAAGTATTTTTGAGCTATAAAACCAACTGTAATTGAATAAATGTGAGGTAGATCTGTTTAATGTCATACTGAACTTTCCAAACAGAACAAAGAAGGTGAAGGACCGACTACCAAAAAGTTACACAGTGCACCTTTAATCTCAAGAACTGCTGGGTCAAGACAAATTTTGCTGAAATACATTTGGAACATGGAGTATCTCGGGGTCTTGTTCTCGAGGGGAGGATAGAGCAAGAGATTGACACACAGATCAGTGCAGCGTCGGCAGTGATGCGGTCGCTGTATCAGACTGTTGTGGTGAAGAGGGAGCTCTCGATTTACCGGTCAGTCTTTGTTCCTTCTCTCACCTATGGTCATGAGCTCTGGGTAATGACTGAAAGGACGAGATTGCGGATCCAAGCGGTCGAAATGAGTTTCCTCCGCAGGGTGTCTGGGCGCTCCCTTAGAGATAGAGTGAGGAGCTCAGTCACACGGGAGGAGCTCGGAGTAGAGCCGCTGCTCCTCCATGTCGAGAGGAGCAGTTGAGGTGGCTCGGGCATCTGTTCCAAATGCCTCCTGGGCGCTTCCCTCGGGAGGTGTTCATGTCCCACCAGAAGGAGGCCCCGGGGAAGACCCAGGACACGCTGGAGGGACTATGTCTCTCGGCTGGCCTGGGAACACCTTGGGGTCTGGGAGTCCCTGCTTTGACTGCTGCCCCCATGACTCGGCCCCGATAAGTGGAAGAAAATGGATGAATGGATGAACATTTGGAACAAAAATCTGGTAGCGGGCCTTTAGGTGCTTTTAAAAGTGCTTAGGTCAGCAAACACTAGACTAATGCTACATGATGCACACTTTCAACACTTTTTATTGGAGGGAAGATGGTGTCATCTCCTGTAGCGACAAAAGCAGCATCAGTATTTGCACTAAAGCTACTGATATTATCCCATATATATTGTCTGACAGGTACAATAAAAGTGAACTTGCTGTAGATTCTCTATTGTAACTTGGTAAATTGGGGACTCATTTAAAGCAGCACTATGTAACATTACTGGTGCAGGGTCCACAACCTGTTTGTCTCCATGGAGATCAGAATAAGCAAAAGATGTTCATTTTGTCTTCTTATATACTTTAACTTCTTGGGTTCTTTTTAAAGACAATGCAGTAAAGTGAGATCAGAATAGTTTTTATTGCCACTGTCAGTGAACAACAATCACAAATTGCACTGTAAACCCAAATAAATTCCCTGAACTCAAAAAAACTGAGGCAATCGATTACCTCAATTATTTTAAGTTGATAAACTTAAATCTTGCAGAATTTTAAAAGTTGGATGGTTTGCTACTTGTACCTTTTCATAACAGGTCAATTAAAAGTGCTTATTTAGATCAGCTCAAATATTTGCAGTTAATATGACTCATAGTTTTCTTAATTATTCTTATTATTTTGTTCATTTATTATGACTTAAATTTGGGAGTTTTCAAACCACTAGAATAAGACTCTTTGAAATTGTATTGCATTTTAGCATGTACTATCAAAATTAATTTTATTTTAAAATCATCCCTATATGAAACAATAGAAATAACTGGACTTTATCATTCTTAGTGTTTAATTGCTACAGTCTACTAAATTGTACCTCATCTATTTTTTTTAAGTTACGCTCACTTATACCCACAATAGTTCCCTTTGATGAAAAAATATTAGTTAAAATTACTCAAAAAGAAGAACATATTACAGCAACTTGACTATTTATAAACTTTAAGTATACACAACTTAATCGATTTAAGTACTTTGAACATTCGGTGCAGTTATATGCTTAGGCAATGTGGTGGCCAATGGAATAAGATTTTTGTTTAACTTAAAATATGAAAATACATCTTGCTACACAAAAAAAAAAAAAACTTTTTGCACTTAAAATAAGAAACAAAATTGAATGTTTCTTGAGTTAAGAAAAACACATTTATTCCATTGGTAGATAATTTTACTTCTCAAGTTGAATTGACTCAAATAAAGCAAAATGTTTTTAATTTAAGTATTTTATAATTTACCTAGATGTTGTTTTTTTTCAGTGTAGCACAGCCACAAAAAAACTATTTAGCCTTCTAACAGACCTTTGACGAAGTGGTCACTACAGACACGAGCATTTGCAGACTCTGCTCCTCCCAACCTCAAATTTAGGTTTAAAATCCACTTTTTACAGCGTTGTTCTGTGAGCGTTTCCCATGTCTGACCTTTGTGGACGACTATCTTAGGTACTCTTA